TATCTTTCATCTTGAAGTTGAGACTTGACTCAAAAAACTGCAAAAAACTATGTATGCTAAAAAACATAGATACGATGCTCTTAAGTATGTCTAAGATGCTTGCAACATGAATTAATTCTGTTTTTTCTTGGATGGAGCCTCAGCTTTGCCTGCCAATCTAGTCCATGGAATCGATCGTGCCCCATCTGCTTCTCGAGCTTTGGCTTTACAGGCCTTTCATATTTGAGACTATCCTGTTTGAAAATGTTTTCCTCATTTTTCTTGTTTTAGGAGGGAAAAAGATAAAAATTCTATAAAATATTCTTTGCAATTGAATCAAATTATAAACGTGAGTTCAAAGAATATCAAAGGAATCAATAGAACTTTTAACGCTTTCAAAGTTACAACTCTTTGACAAATGTTCAAATGGATGAATTGGTTTTAGGTTAGCCTCCTTTCTAAGGTTTCGGTCACCCAAAATGCCATTTTTTGAAATATCGCAACATATTTTTTGGTTTGGCATTTTAATTGGGTGCGGACAAAATGACGCAACTAGCATGATCAATTACTAGACCTTTTATTTCATTCCTCTGAAATCTTCCATTTGTTCAAGTTTTGTAAGTTCCTCTAACTACGGTAGTGCAAAAATATCAGTCTAAAGATGAAATTCTTGAGTGCTCGTGTGAATTTGACTATAACAGGTGTTCCTTAACTCCCTTAGTCCATCATTACCGAAAATTTCTTGCTTAGATAAATTTGATTTAATTTATCATTGTCTGGCTAGCTGAATCCATAAAGTCGGGGTGTTTAACCAATTGCTTTAGAGGGACAACTTAGCATTATAATCACTTTTATCGGGTTTAACTAAAGGGTTCATCTCATCACATAGTCTTCGGCCTGACAAAAGTAGTGGAGCAAACACCGAATTGCCAAGTGTCCGAGCAATGTCATGGTTTGAATGCAATCTATTCATAAAGCCAGGGCTTTCGAGTTTCCTATGTAACCAATTGCCTTAGTGGAATAACTCAGCTTTACGGATTTAATTTCTTAAGATTGTCAAGAAGAACCTGTTATAGTCTAGGTGTTATTGAAAGTCAAAAATTTTATCTTTAGAGTTCAATTTTCAAGCAACTGACCTAAACTAGATTCACTTACTCAACTATTCCATCTATAAAGATAATGGTCATCATTGAATGTCTTAAATAAAAAGCATAGTAATGTCATATGCAAAAGGATGCCCCATGTTGTCCGCACCTTATAAAAGGAAAAAGTTATATTGGTTAATTGCAAGAGCAAGGTATGATGTTTGAGGGCATATTCTCGGTAAGGTCAAGGTTCTTGTTTTAAATCATGTTACTTTGTCAAAGATCTGTAACTTTGAACCATTTACAGAGTTTCTTAATTCAGTTAATATTCAAAGAATTGCAAGTTTGCAAATGTGATTCATTGCTCTTCATCATTAAAGTAACATAAATTTATTCAAATTTTTTTACAAAAAAATTTGAAAAAAAGATGAAAAAAACAAATTCAAACAAAATGCCTCAAAATTGAATAAGGCTTCAACAGGATGCCCCATTTGTCTTGACTATTTCTGTTTTGAGAGTGTCATTGCTTTCATCATAAAATTTCATCTCTTTTCTGTTCATCATTAGCTGGATCAAAGCTCTAAATTCGGCACATTCTTGTACATCATGTCCATCTTCATTGTGATAACAACAATGACTGCCACCTTTGGAATCTGATGTGCTAGGATGTGGTGCAAGAAACCCCGCATTTATCATTTGCCTCCATACCCAAGCAAGAGGTGTCTTCACTTCGAAAACTCTAGTTTTGGCCTTTTTACCCTTTTCCTCGGTGATTGAATTTTCCTTATTCTCTCGATGATTAGGTAGAGGGTTCTGTGCAACGTGGGGTGATTCTGAATTATTAAAATGAATCCAACCCCTGTTGCGCATCCTTTGGATAACCCTCTTAAAGGGGAGACAATTTTCAATAGCATACCCCAGAACACCGCCATGATATTCACAGTGCGTATTTTTGTCATACTACCTGGGGTATGGGGGCTCCAGAGGTATCTCGAGATAGGGTGACACCACAGGTGCGTCAAACAGTTATTGGTAGAGCTCCTTGTATGTCATGGGAATGAGATCAAAATCCTCCTTTTCTCTCCTTGGTTCTTGCCTAAAAGAAGGTACAGCTGCAAATGATTTTGAAATGTTGATGATCTCTCTTTCTTTTTTCTTTAGAGAAGGTTTTCCACTAGTCCTACCTCCTAGTTTAATGGTAATTTCTACCCTCATTGTTTTGACCTCTTCATCAAATTTTGGAATGCAGTAAATATCTGAATTATCTTGAAGTCCTGGTAAGATTCTGGGTGAGACAACCACTTGGTGGGTAGGTGGAATGGTTACCCTTCCAATGAGCCTGCCCCAGGAGCACTTGTCTGACATAGGCCGACTAACTTGGCAACGATCTGATCGATCAAGGACTCTTGGCCTTTCGTGATTACATCTAGGGTACTCCGGCTATTCTGATTTATCTTTTCTTCTAACTATCTCTGGAGCTTCAACATGTTCTATTCGATCTGAGTAATTCTGGCTTCCATATTCTTTTTTGGTTTGAATGAGGATGACACATGTCTGAAGCTTGTGTAGGTATGTCCAGTGTTTGTACCCTTCTGTTATGAAAATCTCTTGTTAGTTCATGTGAATGCAATGAAAAAAGGAAAATTATGCAAAATATGCAAGAATACATGATACATGAAATGTTCGAGGCATTGATCCAAAAGAATGTGCTTGTTATTATGAATAATCCTTATTGGGGAAAAAGTGTTTAATCTTTTAAGAAACAAAAATATCCAGACAGCTTCTGATATGTTGACTAGTCTTCTGCCTTAGTCTTTCACCGGTTGAATAACATGTCGAACAGCTCCGGCTTCTCTGGATGAACCGTACAAATGTTGAGTTATTTTTTGTACTGGCCCAAGAAGTCTCGAATGACTGTATCTTGGGCATTTATCTTTTGTTGAGCCTATTCCCAACAAATACGCCATTAGAGCCCTTCATTGATAGGAACTATGTGAAGTCCATTTGTCTGTTTCTTGAATTCATCAGCAATGGTCTCCAATTTCAGCTATCGTTTTGCCATTATTGTCTTTGAAGGGACTCCCAAGATCAGTGACCTTCATCTTGCCCCTGCAACCTCTGCTAGTCAGTTATTCCAAGATAGACTTTCATTGTGCTTGATGTAGACCCAATTCATTCTAAGTCCTTTATAACACAGCAGAGTGATATACTCTTCAATTGTGGGTACCACGCCTTCTGAATTGAATGTGACACATAGTCGCCTTGTAGACTATCCGCTATATTTTTATCTCTTGTATTACAACCCCTTTGTCCATTAATGCAGATTATTCATGTTTAACAAACACGTTTTTGGTAGATCAACACCTCTTTTAAATGATGCAAGTGATGAAAATAAAATTAAAAAAACAAAAATGAAAGGAGTTAGTGAGGTGATAATAATGAAAACAATTATGAAAAAGTTCTTCACCACATGCTTTAATTCCTACCCGGACATGATCTCTATCCCGCATGCTAATTTCAAACAAATCCTAACCGCATATTTGTCTAGTTCGCATGCTTTGAACAGAAAATAAAGCATGAAACAAAGCAGCTTAGGGTTTGGAATGAGGTTTTGGGGTGGGCTCTAATTCCATGTACTCTCCCGGTTTAGTTTCTAAAAAGGTACACGAGTTCTCCTTGCTGGTGCCCCCTTGGGCTTACCAGACCTTAGTCCTAAGCCCATTACAAGCTTATGTGGACAAAGTTAAACTCGAGATGATACATTCCCTTATGCCCATACGGAGAATAAATTAACACGAAGACATAAAGTATATGAATCCCGAAGGTTACTTGCTAGGCCCATACGGAGAATAAATTCCCACGAAGGCGTTGCTTTCACCCCCACTTAAAAGGTTTCGGAGCTCGGGTATAGAGCTAGAGATGACAATTTTAAAAAAATCTAAAATCATTAAAAAATGTCAGTACAACTATTTATTTGAAAAATAATCAAAGATAAATAATTGGAATCGAATAAATAAATTAAAATTTATTATTTTTGCATAAAAAAGACAACCGAAAATTAATTTCGGTCTGACTCACTTACCTATCCCCAGCAGAGTCGCCAAGCTGTCAGAACCGTCTTTCGGTTGGGCCCGGAATTGGGCTTCGACTTAAATGAGTTGGAGTCACCACCGATCACTTTAAAATGATATTTAGGTGGATCGGAAACCATCTTACCTGATCTGTGTTTTTCCAAAAATGTGTCGAGTTCGAGAGTCGATTACGGTCAAGGAAGAATTAGCACCCTTGAACCGCTCTTTCGGTACCAATTAATTTGTCGGTTGTCTTTAAATGCAAAAATTAAAAATTCGATTCGAACTGCTTACCTTTGATTGGTCGAAATTTCTCTAAAAAATCAAAAAAAAATATAACAATTATATTTTCCTATATCTACCCTAGAAATGGTATCAATAAACCACGTGTATCATTTAAGGAAATCACATATGCCAATTGGAACCGCTAACATGGAAACAGAATGCATGAAGTAATTAAGAATATATATATATATATATATATATATATATATATATATATATATATTATGAAATGCAAGTGCACGAAATAATAATAGAATATGTATATTTTATGAAATAGGGAATTAAAGTCAAAAATCTCAACAACAGAATCATGTTATATATCCTTGTAATATTTGTATTAGGCAGGCCAAGTCTCATTATTTCCTAACTAAGAAATTAAGAAACTTACTATCAATTTTTAAATGACAACTTGGTGATCATGCGAGCCTTTTTAGTGACATGAACGTTGGTCTCCACCCATAAAGAATTAAAAACAAAAGCATTTTTTTTCATTTAAAAAGAAAAGCACACTGCACGAAATAATAAAATATGTATATTTTCTGAAATGCACACTAACCCATAAAACCATAATAGTCCAGCTAATTTGGTAGCTTTCCTTTTCAACATAACAAAAGCTTTTTCAAAAGGGGACTGTATTTGAACACCTCAACAGCCTCGTGAAGCAAAACATCGATTATCTTCGAAACTCTCCAGAGATCAGCGACCTTTGGACTCCACCACCCGTACAAGGTAAGAATCTTCCCATTTTCTGTATTTTTTTTCGTTCGAAATAACTCTTCTCTTGTATTTTTTCTTTGTTCGAGACCCCCCCGAAATATTTCTAGTTTTTCTCGTATTTTTTCGTGTAAACGTGTGTAAGTGCTCTGTATTTCCCTCCCTCTTCTCTAGTGCTTTCCTAGTATTTTTCGTGTGTAATACTTGAGTAAAACCGTGTGTTTTTGTATGTAAATCTCTCTGCCTGTTCCTCCCTAAAATAGTCGATTACAAAGGTATTTATAGGGTTCGAATGCCCCTATCTTTTGGTGTTTGATTCCTAGTGAGAAACTAACACCACGGTTTGTTTGTTGTTGATGGGTGCCGAAATCCTCGGTGATGGGCGTTGGCGCCGTGAAAATCGGGCGTTTGACCGAGGGACTCAGCTGAGCATTATGATACAGGCTTGCGGCGCTAACATGGAAACATAGTGAGGAGAAACTAGGGTTTCCAAACCCTAGTTCACCGGTTCGAGGCTCCAGGTGTTTCAGCAGGTCTTGGGTTCTCTGTAAAACGGGCTACTAATGCATTGGGCCACTGGGATTTGTTGGTCTTTGGGCAGCTTTGTAATAATTCTGGGCCATAGGTTCAGGCCTGCCACAATGTAAAAATAAAATAAATAATAACGTAAATATAATTTATAATTATATTATATAACCTAATGATGTATATCGAATGGAAGTGGACGAAATTTAGTGTCTACAGTTATTTAATAATAAACATTCAAATATCTTTATAGATAACGTACTCAAACCAGCAGTAGAACTCTCTTGGGACCCAAAGGGGCTCGACCCCTGTAAAAAAATTACTTTTGATAGATTTTGACCTAATAATATTTTAATTCATGTAAAAATAAGTATTCTAATTAAAAAAAAAGAATTTATTAAATGTTTAATCATGTAGGTGTCGAACTAAATTCTCAATTTTTGGGTCTAATAATAATTTAGGTCATTATAAGTTTAAATATTAGACAAAATAAACATTGTCTTTTGAATTTTAAGTTTAAATACTTAATAAGTCATTATATGTTTTTTAAAAAGTTTAATATTTCGACCCTTGTGAATTCTTAATCTGGGTTTCATCCTGACTCAAATCTAAAATCTTTAACAATAACATTTATCTATTTAATCACCGAAATTATTTAATCCGTGCTAATTCTTTGTGTAATTAGTTACTCAAAAGCTGATTCTCATTATGTTTGATGGGGAGGTTGCAATTTCATTAGAGTGCGGGAGTTGGCTTATTTTCCTTTTCTTTCAAGTGTTACGACAGACAGTAGGGGTTTGTGTGTGTATATATATATATATGATCTACTTAGAATTCATTAAGTAATCTTAATGATTAAATGCAGTATTGTTCTTTTGAGAAGTTTTGGACTTAAACGATTGTGGTTATAGGGTATGTATGTGCATTATCAATAGTTTAAAAAATTATGAACATATATTACATTCTAAACATCCCCTAATTATATAGTGTAAAAAATTATCATAATTTAATATTATTTGATGAGTGTAGATTGATAATAAAGATTATTTATTTTTCTATAAAATATTTTTATTTTTAACTTTTAATATGAATCAACAATTTAAACTCATTCAATAATTTTAAATCAATGTAAAACTAAAAATAAATTATATTACCTTGTTGGATTTCATCTCTCACACATATATATTATGAAAATTAAAGGGTTTAATACAATTTTAGGTGTCTAAATTATACCATAAATTGACTTTTGATGTCTAAAAAAGTTTCGTTAAAATAGGTGTCTAATGTTTTCTCCATTATAGTTTTAGGTGTCTATTGTTAAGTGACATGTGTCACGTTTAGATTTTTAAATTTTTTAAATAATATTTTATTTTAAAAAAAATATATAAAATAAGCATGTCACGTGTCACTTAACAATTTTTTTAACGATGGGCATCTAAAAGTGTAACATATAAAACATTAGACACCTATTTTTAACAAAAAATTCTTTAGGCACTAAAAGTCAATTTGAGATATAATTTAAATGTTTTAAAGTGTATTAAGCCGAAATATAAATACAAATAATGTATATCTAAATAATTATCATAAGAATTAATTATTACAAAGTACAATCGAACTCATAATTAAAATATTTTTTAATAAGACTCAGATATAATGGAACATAAACTAGAATAAAATATGAACTTAGAAATGAATTGAGTAAAATTCGATCAAACTTGAAAATTTAGATTTCAAGTTAATCAAATCGAATTATTGTGTTTTTAAACCAATTTAAATAAATAATTTAATTTTTTGAATTTAAATTGAGTCGAAATTTTATAACTTAAATACTCAAGAAAATCTATTAACAAACTACAATCCCTTAAATCCTTATCAGGTGTTTAAAAAAATGTAAATTGATCCTCAAAACCAAATATTCAAAACAAAATTCAAAATTTTCAAATATATAAAATATATTAAGTTATACAATAATTAATTCTGGATTTAATAAAAGTTTTATTAACTTTAACTATTAAACAAGTAAATTATAAAATCTAGTTTATCATGCTAAAGTTTATTGTTTTGCTTTGAAAGTAGCTTCTAAATGCTCGTTCTCTAATTTATATGTTTTAACTGAAATTTAGTAATTTTGTCGATAAATGTTTAACTTATTTATTTTTTTTAAAAAATAACTTAAATAAATATAATTTAATTCTACCAATTTTAGAAACTTGATTTAAAAAATCAAATGAAATTTTAAAAATAAAATAAATTCGAGCAAAAATTTTCACTCAATCAACTACGAATCCCTACTTAGAATGCACACAAGATGGGGCTCGCCAAATCCTTGTTTGCTCGATTTCAATGCATAGAGAGAGAGAGAGAGAGAGAGACAGAGTTTATATTTGACAGAGTTATATAATTTGTTTTTGATATATTACAAATTGGGGGAAGAATTAATCAACATGTTTGAATCCTTATCTATAAGATGTCGTCTTAACTATTGCTCTTTAGTATAGTCATTGATGGCAAAAGTACCCTTAAATACACCAGGTTTACACAAATCTTAAAGCTGCAAAGCCGGGAAATTGAAATAATTTTTACACTAATCGAGTTATCTTGGTGAAGGGATTGATGTTATTTTTTTATGTCTCAGGTTCGAGTATCATGCATATTATACGTTCAATATCAAAGGATTAAAAATTATCTTAAGATAAATGTTATTTTATATTAATCCTAATGAATTTTCACCAAACCAAAATTGCAAGTTTATTTCAATTTCATGTTTAATTTCAGTACAAGAATTGTGTAGGCACGCATGTTTATTAAACAGTGGGCATGGTTTAGAATGTGGTGTGTGTGAGAGAGAGAAGGGCTGTTAAAGGGTTCGAAGATGCATTTAATTTGAATGAGAACAGAGGGTTAACTTTTGTGAGGATCAGAAATTGAGGTGATGGGTCGGCTGATGGTACCTGGGGGGTTTTATACACTGAATTGATAGATCCCAAGTTTTCTCAGATACATTTAACACCTTCTCTTTTCTTATATTTCCAAATATTACCAAATCTACATGCCATTGCTTCTCCGCATTTTTAATATATTGTTGGCCTCCAGCATTGTTTCATTCAAATTCATGCATTATATTGTCAAATCTGTTGCTTAAACGGGATACTTTTGCGTTGTCACTAGATTAAATAATAAATTTTAAATTTTTTATTATATATTAAGTTGAGTAGTTTTGCTGTACGGAAGCCTTAATATACAGTTAACGAAAGGTCCTACTAGAATTGTTAATATTTTTTTAATATTTTTGGTAAAACGCTATCTAAAATATTTTTTTTACTGAAAATGTTAATTTCACTACCTAATTTCCGGTAAAACAACATTTTAGGTATAGCTCATGTTATGTATGGCTCATAAAAAGTCTCGTTGTGGGGTTACAAATTATGTGGGTTGGGGGTGTGGGGGCGCAGCCCCCGCGGTACGGTACAGGGTTGATTTTGTAATTATGTACCAGGGTTTTCTATTATAAATAGAGATGTAACCTAGACCTAAAATATCATTGAATAAAATTCTAGCGCCGCCTAGGCACCGAGGACGTAAGCACATTGCCGAACCTCGTAAAATTCTCGTGTTCTTTCGTTTTCTTTACCCGTTTTCGTCAACAATTGGTATCAGATGTCAGGAGCAAAATTCGAAGTCGCGAAATTCGATGGTCAGGGTAACTTCGGATTATGGCAAACGAGGGTGAAGGATCTATTGGCGCAGCAAGGGATCTTGAAGGCTTTGCGACCTACAAAGCCGGCGTCGATGGATGAGGAAGATTGGGAAGAATTGCAGCAGCGAGCGGCAGGAACCATACGATTATGCTTGGCGGACGAGGTCATGTATCACGTCATGCATCTATCGTCTCCAGACGAAATTTGGAGGAAGTTGGAAAGTCAGTTTATGTCCAAATCCTTAACGACAAAACTGTATCTGAAGCAGCGGCTGTATGGGCTGAAGATGCAGGACGATCACGATTTGGCGCAACACGTGAATGTCTTCAATCAAATCGTTTCTGATCTGGCTCGGCTTGATGTGAAAATTGAGGATGAAGACAGAGCGATGATTCTGTTGTGTTCGTTGCCTTCCTCTTACGAACACATGGTGACTACTCTTACATATGGGAAAGAGACTATCAACGTTGAGGAGATTACTGCAGCCTTGTTGGCTCACAACCAGCGGAAGCAGAATGCAGGGGAAAGCTCTCAAGCCGATAGCTTATATGTCAAGGGTAATCGAGATCGTGGACGGAAGCCAGAGAAGGCAGGGTCCGGGAAGCGGAATTCCAGATCCAAATCCAGGGATAAGAAGACGATTCACTGTTACAAGTGCAAGGAGGCGGGACATATGAAGCGAGACTGTCCGAAGTTGAAAAAGCAGACCGATGAGAAGCGTGATGGCTCATCCAAGTCTGTGAACGTGGTCGAGGATGATACTTCTGATTGCAGTGAGGGTGATATGCTTTCTATTTCAACGACACAATTGACGGATGCTTGGATTCTTGATTCTGGATGTTCTTATCACATCACGCCAAATAGGGAATGGTTTTCGACATACAGGCCGGTTAATTCTGGTTCGGTTTATTTGGGTGATGATCGATGTTGCAATATTGTTGGTATTGGTGATGTCAGAATTAAGATGCACGATGGCTCCGTTCGGACGTTGAGTGGTGTTCGACATATCCCAGACTTGAAGAAGAATTTGATTTCCTTGGGCACTTTGCACAAGAATGGTTTTATCCCTAAGGCTGACGAGGATAGGGAAACCATTCGGATTGTTAAAGGAGCATTGACTGTGATGAAAGGCAAGATGACTGCAGGGAATATCTACAGATTGTTAGGGAGTACCGTTGCAGGTGGAGTTCACTCTGTTGAGTCCTGTGATGATACGACAAAATTGTGGCATATGCGCCTTGCTCATCTTAGTGAACGTGGTATGGCAGAATTACACAAGAGAAACTTGTTGCATGGTGTCAAAAGCTGTAAGCTCGATTTTTGCAAGTATTGTGTTCTTGGTAAACAGACTAAAGTCCGTTTCAAGACTGCGAAGCACACAACTCAAGGGATTCTTGATTATGTGCATTCTGATGTATGGGGGCCTTCCACGACATCGTCTTTGGGTGGATCTAGGTACT